GTGTGTGTGTGTGTGTGTGTGTGTGTGTGTGTGTGTGTGTGTGTGTGAGAGAGACAGCGCCAGGCTCACTGCCACAGAGAATCACCCTGTCAGTCTCCGTGTCTCTTCGTCTTCCCCCGGCGGCGTCACTCCCTCGCTGCACAGATCAAAGAGCTGACACATGCCCCGATGTCCTCTCTCTCTTCTATCTCTGCCTTACACTCTCTGTCTTTCTTGCAATCGTAACCCTCTCGCTCTGTCACTCACCCTCTTTTTTTTCTATCCTCACATCCAGCTTTCTCCCCGACTATATCAGCGGGGATTTTGATTCCATTACTGCCGAGGTCAAAGCATTCTATGGCGACAAGGTGAGTGGAACACAACTTGTACACACTCTCAGATCTACAGGTGTACACACAGGGACACACACACACAAACAAACAAAAAAAAACAAGAGAAATCCTTACTGTCTTTAGTACAGTACAACTTGACTCCTTAACCACCTTGACATGTCGACAACTTCATTAAGAAGTTTACTTTTCCAAGATGGATTGATGATTTGTCCACACAAGCAGGGACTTCTCTGTTTCATAGTTCACCCAATAAATCATCTTTCCCCATCTGGTGCAAAGTGACGCCGACCATTAAGACATTTTCTCGCAGAGCGGTGTTTGACAGCAGTTGATTTTACCAAAGCAGGATTTAGTTTTCTTTGTGCTGCCTGAAAGTTCACAATCACAAAACAAGTAGTTGCTGGTGGATGAGTTTAGCTGCACATTGTGAAGTAATAGAAAACAGGGGTAAAGTAAATCACTTGATTGTGTGCAGGACTCGTGAATACATTTCTCAACAATTCCTGGGATATTCTTAATGAGCTAATAAAAGATAAACATTGTCCGAGCAGTGTTTGTGTTGGACAATTAAGATAAGGGTTGGGTGGAAACGTAGTTCATACTGATGTATTTGTGTTAGCTTTTTTGTCCAGATGAGTATTATCAATGATGCAATGCAAATAACTTTAATCCTGAATATGGGCACACGTTGTCCCCCAAATGAGCCTTCCACTGTCACTGGATTCAACAAACTAAACCCTCAGCAACTCTACATGACACGAACTATCAACTCAGCTGGAGCTTGACAAATATCCTGCTTTGTGTGCGTGTGTGTGTGCTTGTGTGTGTGTGTGTGTGTGTGTGTGTCGCAGGGTTACAGAGTTGACATGAGGCAAGTGGATAAGTGACTACTCAGAGCTGGCTGGGGTTTAATGGCTCGTATACTCGAGACTCTCCAGGAGTTTCACCTGCAGTGACGAGAACATGCTGACTGAATTATCAAAGTGGGTGCAAATGTACAGTCTGACATGGTTTCAACTGTCGGTGCACTCAAGATCCATGTAGACCCATAAAAAACTACCTCTGTCTGTGGTCAGAGTCACATTTTACTGGTATAATCCACTTCCTGCTGACTCAGGAACATGCAAGCTTTTAACAAATACAATATATTCCATCATGACCACTTGAACCACTCTTTCATGACAATCGATCAAACTTTATTTCAGACCCGGGGTCCATATAAGACAAATACATATTGCATAATGCTTTATAGGTCATATAATCATCTTTGACTTAAAGATAAAAAGTGTAATGGTGTGGCTTGTTGGCTACTGATCAACTTATATTATATTAATGTGTCTCAAGCAAAAAGACTGTGAATCACGATTAGATATCTGTTGAGTTTGCTTTACTTTAATGCACTAAAAAGACTCCATTAAGACAATATCAATGAGTTCTGTGTTTACTTGTAACATAGGATGTAGATGTATTCTAAAAATATCTAAATTATATATAAACATAGTCCAGGTTTACGTCCTACATCGTTGCCTTTGCTCCCTGCATGTGCCTCTAGCTGTGCAGGAGGCCTGTTCATGTAGGCATATTTAGACTAAACTTCCCAAGGTCATGAAGATAAAATGCAAATTCTTCTATGAAGTGGACTCTCCGTAATTTATAACAAGCAAAATGTCATACAGGAACCTGTGAGGAGAGGTGAAGCTCGGTTCAATAAGTGATAAATACAAGGTGTCACACACTTTCGAGGAAAGGAAAGATCAGCCCCACTCTGATACACACTACTGTGTATAGTTTGAAATGCAGATCCAATACTTCCCTATGCACACACACACACACCATCACATGCATACATACTCGCACACAACAATATGGGTTGTCACCCTCTTTTTTCCTCTCACTCTTTTCCCCTCTCTCTCTCTCTCTCTCTCTAGCTGAAATATTCGTCCCGTTTCACAAATATCACACAGATTTCCGTAAAAAAAAAAAAAGAAGAAAAAAAAAAAAAGTAATACCTTTTTTTTTTTTTCCATGAAAGAGAACAGACTTTAATGGTAATGATTAAGGAGCAGAACAATGGAAAAGTTTGAGGCGTTCCTTCAGAGATTTGTCGGAAACGGTGAATAATTCTGCATAAATGGAAGGGAGAAAACAGAAGCATCCGCAAAGGGAGGGGGAGAGAGAAGAGGTGGGGAGCGAGCGAGGATGGATGGGATCAAACAGAGCACAGCGAACATGTTTGTGTGAACTGACTGCTCTGTGTGTGTGTGTGTGTGTGTGTGTGTGCGCGCAGTGGCAAAGTTGTGCAGTGAATGGAGAGACATAGGGAGAGAACGCCAGAGTAAGGTTGTTTACCTGGATGCTGTAGTTTAGGGCCACTGACTGGAACCTCTACATTATTCAGCAACACAGCCCACAGACAGCCAGACAAGACTAAAACACTGATTTATACCTCTCTCTATCTCGTTGTGTTTTTCTGTGCTTTGTTATCCCCTATCCCTTATCTTTGCCTGGGTTTTTGTTTTGCTATCTCGGAATGTGTACATCCATCTGATTATGTTGTGTGGCCTGCATGTGTGTGTGTGTGTGCGTGTGTGTGTGTGTGTGTGTGTGTGTCCATTTTTCTTTGTGCGTAGGGGTGCAATCTGATAGAAACAGATGACCAGGATCTAACAGACTTTACCAAGTGCCTCGCAATCATGGTGGAGGAAATTCAGAGACGGCAGTTACAGGTAAACATCCACCGCACACCACGCACACAAGAATTAAATTCTTGACATTTTATTAGGAAAGGAACAGTTTGAAATTTGTTTCAGTTGTGGTTTCACCGGGGTTGTGGGCTGTTTCTTGGCCCGGGTGCAGTGACTTCCTGGGCATAACAATACCCTTTTTAAAACAATGTTTTTGACAAGCATTGCTTTAAAAAAAAAAAAAGGGTATTGTTACTATTATTAAAAGGACTACCAGTTGTTTTAGCACTGCGGTAAATACATAAGTAAAGCTCTCCTCTAACTCAGCCTCTGATAGCTGAGTGCCATTAGCAAGGCATTCAGTCCTCCGTTACTTAAGATGAGCTGCTCAGAGGTCAATAGTGCTGGAATGTGGTTGACTGGGGGCAGATTTGAGGCGTGTGTGTGTGTGTGTGTGTGTGTGTGTGTGTGTGTGTGGGTGTGTATGAATATGAAGCAGCTTGCTGCTGGGAAGGAACTTGCATGCTCACTCAACATCCATCCCATGAAGAAATGAGCGCTGGAAAAATATCATTGGAATAATATGTGCCGCATTTACACCTACACGTAAAATGCAGCCGGTAATCGAGGTTTGCCAGATTTAAAATTAAATACTTTTGTTGTGATATTTTCAAAGTGAAAAGCATTTCCCAACAAACTGATATCCAAAACTCCAAAAGGAGCTGCGCCAGCGATTGCGAAGCCGCGTGCCCAGCCAGCTGCTTCAGAGCCAAACACAGAGATCTGATCCAGAGATGGAGTCCATTTCCATTTTGACTCTAAAACCGTCAGCTGAATTGCACAGAATGTACATCACATGAGGACAATGTGTGCAGGCTGATACAACAAACAGTATATCTCTGATTGTCATCATTTCAACAAAGGTCATTATTAGGGAAGTGTTTTGACTATCTGTCTCTTTACTCTCTCACGCTCTATCTCCTCCACTATTAGAATTTTTAAACGTTGTTTGGCTGAGTGTTGCTCCAATCACTGGCGAGTGCCACAATCACTTCACCCCTCTAAGCTGATGAAAGACCATGGAGAAGACGCCTGCACCCACACAAAACATGCACCTCCTCTCAAACCGCATGCGTGCGTGTTGTCACATTGTGCGTTTTCACTTTCATTTTAGTTGTTTGGCTTAAAGAGAGGATATACTTTTGTCCTTCCGTGAGCGTTGTTTTCGTGGCCTGGCTAATATTTGCTCTGCCTTTGAACTGACGCTGAGTCTGTCTGCCTGCGAAAGATAGGAGCCTGGCAATCACTTTTTGATGTTCTAAAAGAATTGCTGATGATGACTTTTTGTTTTGTTTGTATACCTGGATTTTTCCACTTTTCCTTTACCCACTATGACTCTGATAAGTCTGATTTGACCATTTGTTCCCTTTAACAACTTAGTGTATGGTTGTATAGAAGCGGAACTTTTCTAATGATATAATGTCATGCCTTGTCATTTTCCCTTTTGCTTACTTTCACTCATTTTTCCGATCCACTTAGCCGGTTAAATTGAATCGAACACATAGATGAAATAATAACGGGCTGATTTGCAGATTTCGGAGCATTGTGCTCCTGTTTTGGCTGTTTATGATTCAACATATTAGCCTCTGAATGTTTCCCTTTGCACGGCTTAGCGCTTGATTTGGAGAGTTTATCTTGTATTCTGTTGGTTGACATCCCAAAGAATGGTATCAGAGGATTATGGTGGGTGGATGAGTGTGTGTGTGTGTGTATATATTTATATATACGTGTGTGTGTTTACGTCTTGAAACGTGTGCCTATCTACATTGTGCATGAGTTTGTGAAAGGCTGGTCTGTGCGTGTGTGTGCGTGTGTGTGTGTGTGTGTGTGTGAGCATTCAGTACCTGATTACATCCGTTTGTGTATGTACTTGTTGAAGTGTGTGTGTGTGTGTGTGTGTGTGTGTGTGTGTGTGTGTGGGTAGCCCAGCATCTGGTGTATTCATGTGTGCTTGTCTGTTTGTCTTCTCAGAGCTCTGTCCTAGTTAGCTTCTCTCCCCGTGCGTCACAAACAGCACCACTGCTTTCATTTCTTCTCTCTCTTTCTCTGGTTATCTGTTCACATCATCTCCAATAAATGGATATGAGTTTTTGTTTTGATCTCCGAGCCAGCATTGCTCGCTCCGGCTCCCCCAGCCAATCAGGAGACTGTATGGACGGATCTGTTGAGCCAGCTTGTTAGATTCTCTTCATTCAGTCGTGAGATTATCCTTTTCCCCCGTTTGTTTTTTGTTTTGTTTTTTAGTAAACAAACATGAAATAGGAACACATACAGATTTGAAACCGTTATATGGAGTTTGATATGCGTAGCAAGTGATATGCAAGTGTGATGGGAAGCGATAGATTGAGCAAGCTAGTGTGTCATCAGACGCTGAACCGCTGAACATCTTTTTTTCTCTCTAGTCATTGCTCCTTTTTTCTCTGCTGAGGTTTTCTGTCGTCTGGCTATGGCGACTTCTGAACTGATGCTGTTCACTGTTGGTTGGATCCTCTCCTCTCTCATTCTTTCCTCTGGTAACAGCTATGGTCCTTTCAGGGTTGTGTGATTAGTAAGCCATAACAAAGGTGGGAAGGGCATCAGAGATGTATTTGGGAGATGGTTTGGTGGATGGACAAAAAGGGCCAGACATATTGTAAATGAGAGATCCTACTTCACAATACATTTATATATTTATAAAAAACAAAACTTAAGTATCGTCGTATTTGCCAAAGCCTGATGTGGCTTATTTTTTTGTACCATAAGTCATATTAGTGAGCCACACCTGGGTGACACATTAGTGCTGTAAATACTTACTAGGGCACCAAATCTGTGGCGGAAGATCGCTCCCATGCACTCTTTACTTCTGTTTGAGTAATGAATGCTAAAAGCTTCAATGCCCAGCTGTTTCAGGAAATGACTGAGCTATATATATATATATATTATATATAATATCTCTCTCTCCCTCTCTCGTTCGTTCGTCAAGTGTTGCTGTTTACAGTTTAGGGGATGCTGCTGCATGTGGGGGCGTCAGCCAGATGTTGAAATAACCTCAATCTCTCAGCTCTTGGTTTTGTTTTAAGTCCATCGCCTGAGGCAGGAAGTCGGTAACGATAGATTCAGTTGGGAAATAGTGAGTTCCCATTATGTACAGTAAGGACCATTTCAGAGCTCTTCTTTCACCTTTTGGATAATGTTGAATACGTTGAGGTGTTGGTGGGTTGTTGAAGTAGTAAAGAGAGGAAATGAAAATTATTTTTAGATTGATTTTCAGGTGATGCTAATGTTTCCTGTGCTGTAATTTATCAAATGGGCGAATGCATGCACATCCACGCAGAAAGAAAACGCTCACACATCTCTCTAGAGGTGGTGAATTGTCAAAGTTAGAAACAGCAGAAGGAAACATGTTTACTGTCTGCTCATGTGTACTGTATCCACCTAATGTTCAGCTGCAGCCCAGCATTAGCAAACTTAATAGAAAATGAATTTCCCTCTTACATTCTGTTTGCTTATTCATGTATTTGCAGTATGTGGTTGAAGTGAAAACAATGAATTAACGTGTGATTGATGGTACTGTACGTGCTGGTGTGACTGTCAGTCGTCAGCCTCTGACAGCGCCTCTGCCCTCTAGACTCTGCTGGGTTTTACGGCTGTCAGCACTGGTGCCTGACTGCTCAGGGACTTTTTATAAGGATGTAACTGCTGAGAGATGTAAATATTGAATGTAAGAGAACTGCTGGCTCAAAGTTAAGAAGAGCCTCATTTTAGTTCTGAGGTTGCAGGAAATGGCATTAGTTTAAGTAATCAAGTTACTTGATTTGCCGTTTACATGTTTGCCTCTCTATTCAAAGGACTGATGTTGTTAACCCTCATTGTAATGGCCCAAATTCATTGTATGATCTCCCACTGATTGTTTATCTGTCCTCCTTCTCAGTTCTCTCTCAATGCTCTGTGTCCTTGATGTTTGTTGTCTGTCGTACTTGTTTGTTTTTCGTTAAATGAAAAGGCCAGCAATATTCTATGTTTTTTATTATTGTCAACAAACTCCATGAAAAGACCAAAACCAATAATGCAACCGTCTCATTACTTTCAGTCTGTGGAAGCCGATATCTCAGGAAAGCCTTCAGAGAATTTTGTTCAAATTTGGCACAAACGTCCACTTGGCCTCAAGGTTCACTGTGACAAACTCATGACTTAATATGCTAATTATTACAATATCACAGAAATATCTATTAGGATAAAATGATGAAGTGGTGACATTTTGGACAGACATGGATGTGAACTGCAACCTGACTGGTTGATGGGAGCATACAACCAGGAGGCAGTAATCCTACTTTCGATATACCATACTCCTTTACCATAATTAGTTGCCAAATTATTATTGGTGGGGTCTATTTTACACACTTTCTCAGAGCAAGACACCTCATGGCTTTTCACATATAGATGCATTTTTAACAATGATTTTAAAGTGTTGTTTTTCTGCAGCCACTTCTGCCGTCATTTTTCTTCATTGAAACAAACAGCAGCATTCTGCCAGAGAACCAGTCCAGTACATCAAAACCATGGCATTTCTCTGTGTCTCATTAAATTCTGTGTCTTTCCAGGTGGATGCCATAGTGACACTGGGCGGTCTCGCTGGCAGATTTGACCAGACCATGGCATCTGTTGAGACCCTCCACCACGCTCTGTCCATGACACGACTCCCCCTGTTGATCATACAGGAGAGTAGCCTGGTGTACCTTCTCAGACCCGTGAGTGTATTATAAACACGCCTTGGCCGTAGCCATTTTTTTCCCCCACAGGTGTAGTGAAATACAACTAAAAAGTGAAGCTGTTGCACTTAAATGTGTCGCTGCATCATCTATCCTTGAATTTTTAGTCCAATGAAGCTGCTTATTATGGCTGTATCTGTATTTGAAGTTGCATATTAAAAGTCCACTCACAGGCAGACCCAAAGTATATTTTCTTTGCACTAGACTAACCATTGACTGTATATAAAGATCTTAAATACAGTCGACACAAACATTCTGCTCTGCTGCTCCAACATCTCCTATCCCTTCTAATCACCCCTCCCCCGGTCCTTGTCTTCATTTTCTGTTCTCTCTCAAAACTCTTCTTTCCCTTGCTTTGCTTCCCTGCTTCCACCTTGATTGGAGTGTTGAACACTTTGTTTCTTTGTTAAATAATCACTTCAAGAACCCCTCACCACACACACACACACGCGCTCTTCTCTGCTCTTATGGTGCCCCAATTTGCTGTTGTGCACAAGAGAGAGAGAGAGAGAGTTTCTTTTGATGCTCCCAAATTGTTTTTCCTCAATGCCAGCCACTTTCTCATGCTCCTCAGTTGATTGAGTTTACAAGTGGGCCGAGCTGACGCCATTTGGGACACACGCTGCTCTTTTTTTTTTTCCTCCTATGTTGTTTATTTGCAGGATCTTCAGGACAAACAACTAACTGTCACACTTCCTGATGACACCTTGTAATGCTCCAAGTAAACCTTTCTATCATGCACTCCCTCCCTACCTCTTGTCATTATTCCAAAGGCGCGTTGTCATTTGCTGCTTCATACCTCGACACCTCCAATTAATCTTACTTCAGTGAGGGTAAATTAAGCTCGTTTGTCAACGCAGCTCCAATTCGCCAGCGACTGATGAACGCAGACGCCTGTACATGAAGGTGAACGCAACCTTCGAAAGACCCAGTACTATTTGTTCCAGTTACATCTGTAATTGAAGTGTTTACAACTTTTGCCAAATATCCTCACCACCCGTATTCCATGCAATCACAGCTTCGTTACGTGCTTAGCTTTGGGACCTGGTGGTACAATCAATACGCACACAGTTGTTCATGTTCTGTACACAAACACACACAAAACAAATTAAGACCACAGATACAGTATTTTAACAGCTGTGTCCATTTTGCTAATTTGACAAGTGGGACTATGTCACCCGAACATATTGCTGATATAACCTTAAAGCTACTTTATAGTTTCTTCATTTTATTAAACATGCAGATTTTAGAAAATGAGTGAGGCATACTTCTTCATTCCTGAGTGAGTCAGTGCATGTCTAAGTCACAGACGTAGTATGATTTAATCAGGGTTGTGTCTGTTTGTTTTACCTTCTGTTTCCCAGATGAGTTGTCAAAGTGTGATTATGCTATCTTTGGGAAAATGCCGAAATGTTGCGTTTTCTATAGCTGGCTCAGGGCATTGCATAAGTCTCATGTCTTTTATTAAATTATGGCAAGGGACACGGCAAGGGCTTCAGGCTTGTTTATGCTGCGTCCCTACACGGCAAGAAGATGTTTTAATCAGTCTCGATCTCAAGGTGACGCTAAATTTATTCAATTTGAATCTAAAAAGAAAGAAAAAGTTGCACTGAGTTCATGTGTTTTGTTAGTTCTTCTTGTGAGACTCTGTCGCAGGGGGCAAGCATAGTCACATTTACTCAAGTTAGTGTCCCATCCCCTGAAGATACTTGAGAGAGCCTGTTCTCAGTTCTGTGGGACAAACAATGCCCAGCGCTGTGTCAGCCCAATCCACGCTATAAATCACTCTATAAGCACACACACACACACACACATACTCTCCAGGTCATATGTATGAGCTTGTTTACCTGATGCCCTTTAGAAGAGTGAAACTTGTCAGTGCAAGAGCTGATTTAAATGATAAAGTGTGTTACCTGAGGTAAGGTAATGCATCCCAAGATAGCAACCATGTGGCATTCAAATATACAATAAATAAAAATATGAGCCAAAGAACTGACCCAGGATTGTCTGTTCTGTACTTGAATTAATAATTTAGTGCAAGTAATAAGTGCAAGACAACAACGATACAAAAAATCTCAACTTTGTTTATAGAAATCAAATCTTTACAAAAAACGTTAAGAACATTCAAACTATTTTGAAATTATTTTAATGACCTTTCATTTAATATTCCAACCTAATAGTTGCATGTCTTAAAGTAGATAAGATGATGAACATGGAAAACATCTCATGCTTTAAGGTGTGTTAGCATTGTGAGCATGTTAGCATGCTGGCATTAGCATTTGGCTCGAAGCACCAGAGTTTAAGTCCAGCCTCATAGAGACGAGTTGTTTTATGTTTCTATTCCTATTTCTCAGTTATTACTGTGCACATAAACCTGTTCCCATAATACACAAACTGATCCGCTTTCAATGTTTTTGAAATATTTGACAAAAAGAATTTAAATTGGAACTCAAATCTCGCACCAGAGTGCTGTAGGCTTAACACAAAGAAGATATGACGAAATAAAAACAAAACAATGTATACCGTAAAGTTCATCACATGGTTTTCAGTGTCTCATACATCTGTAGTTTTAACAAGGCAACTTTTTAAAATTCAACTTTCCCCATTGAGTTCCATTCTCATCCCTCTTCTCTGTGTTCAGGCTAACAAGTTGCTATTGCAGTTAGCGGCTGTAGCTCTACAACCAGAAAGGAACACTGTTATCCCGAGTTGTGTGTGCTGAAATGCAGGTCCACGTGCATTTGTTTGCCGTTCTCTCTGTTCCCTCACACACTCTCACCCTGACACAGTTACACAAAGAGACTGTGTTTATGTTTAGAAAACAACCTCAGGGATGTTTCCTCAAGACCAAATGCTCCAACGCTTAGAATTCTTCCATTTATCCTTCCCTCTGGCGTCGCTGCTCTAGGAAGCCAAGCAAAGGAATCTCTGCTTTAGACATTTCACACTTTCAAGATTTCAAACTCCTAATTGAGTGTGCCTGTCTCTGCTGTCTGTGTCTGTCTGATTCTTTTAGTTGACTGATCTACAGTAAGTTCTAGCTATCAATGCTTTTTAGTTTTTTAGTTTTATGCTTAGATGTTTGGCAGTTTGAGCATGCATAGCACTTGTAGCATGCATATATTAGAAGTCTTTCAATAATATTTCAGGCAGTTTCCTGCGGATGCAACATTTCCTTGCGGTGTTTCTTTGTACCTTTTTTGTACGCCGTGAATGAGAGAAACTTCGTTTTGACCTTTTTACATTCCAGCATCAGGCTTTATTATAACCAGCAAATTCAGAGCGAAGTCATTATTCAGCCTGAAGAGTCTGACACTACCTTGCACCTACACTATGTGATGCTTTTTTCCCCTCTGCGCTCTAGTTTCTCAAAGGGATACTGTGACTTTTTGAAATGTTTGTCATATTTATTTTCATGGAAAGACTTCATTGGACCTCAAAAACATCTGTTCCTCACACATCATTGGAAAACAATACAAAGTCAACCATCTTCCCCCATCATCATTATATACTTTTCTTTATAAGCTACAATGACACAATTTTCTGCTTTTAGTGTGGGCTATCAGTTTAAAAATATGTTGACTCCCTGTGACACACAGTAAAATGAACTAAAATTCAAAATGGCAAAGTTTCTTTTTTTTAAGTGTGGGCAGGAACATGAAAATGGGTTTCAGCTCTGACAAGAGCAATCATTTATTTTAATGAGCCTTGTTCCCTGGGCAGAGAAGCTCAGTTTCTCATTCGGGGCTGGAAAAGTCTAAGAAGTCTTACTCCACATTTTTTTCTTCCCTCTATCACATTGTTTCCACCTGTCATCAGCTGTGGCACAAATGCACAGACAAACACAACACATGTTCTGTGTGTCAGCAGGGCGGTCACAGACTACAGGTGAACACAGGCCTGGAGGGTGACTGGTGCGGCCTCATTCCAGTGGGTGGACCCTGCCAAACAACCACTACTGGACTGAAGTGGAACCTGAGTGAGTCTCTTTCTTTTCATTTTCAGCATTGGATTGATGCTCTAAAGCCAATAATTAGTCTCCAACTTCCTTTGTTACTTTACTTTGTTTGAAGGCGAAGGAAAGAAGATCTTTTTTTTTTCCCTCTGACACATTAAGTGCAAAACTTTTTTTCTTAAGAATTTAATTCTTTTGTCTCACAAATATGAATTCAAACAAAACAAACTGTCTCTTTTAAAAACTCACTTCTTCCTTCTTGACTCCGATTAATACGACTATCCTGCAAATGTCCGGAACAAATAGACGTGTGATGAGGAGAAAGAAGAAAAACAATGTATTGCTATGGCTAAAACTCTGAATGAGTGTCCTAATTCAGATTCACCAAACCATCTTTACCGGACAAACTTTTTGTGTTAATTGCTCATTTCTGCCTGATGAATTCCACCTGTTCATGTGAAGGTGCACGTCTGTGAGATTTAATCATTACGATAACCAATGCTCCTAAAATTGCCACGCAGTATGCGGTTGCATGTTCCGCTCCGTTTGTTGTCAAGTGTCAATCACAAAAGTGTTGCCAAAAGATTAAAAAGAAGAATTACCTTCGACATAAAATAAAAATAACTCAATAAATTGTCAAGCCATGATAGTGATAGTGTGGTGAACGGAATTTAAACTTTGCATTAAGTTTTTATAGTCACACATTTTATTTAGATAATTTCTATATCATATTTAAATAGATTCAGATTACGGTTTTATGATTCTTAAGTCAAAGGTCACCTATGGAGAGAAGCAAACTATAAGTACATGACGTGTAGGACAGAGCTGGACCACTGGTGAAGGTTGTTAGTAAATTCTTTTAAATCATACGCGCCCCTTGAGAACCATTCTGTTCGCATTTGATTAGGCTTATTGTCTCTCTCCTAGTTATGTTGCTGGTGAAATTGGTCCAAAATAACCAAGATACTATACATGATAGATGATTGGTGGTGGCATGTTGGCTGAAGATACAAGTGTCAGGTCTCTAGTGAAGGAGAGGACATTGCAGATATCAAAGGGGCAATTTAACATCAAGGGTCTCAACATTACCGTTAGCTGCCAATACCGCAAACATACTACGACTTCCACTGAATTTTCAACATGCCTGGTACGATCCAGTTTTTCCGGTTAGTTTCACATATTGGGGGACGCATGCCACAGTGAGCTTTTTATATTCTTGAACATTGTATGGAAATCCAATCAGACACCCGTCTGACGACCGCTGTGGTCTTACCCGACTAAGCCTTATGGCCAGCTGTGCTCTTAATGAGTTGGCACAGACCAACCTGCCACCAGTGCGAGGGGAACCTGGACCTTCTGTCAGTGGGTTTGTCTGCTTCCTGGTTGGTGTCCACTCTCTGTGTGTGCATGTCTGTATGCTTCTGGGAGTCTCTACACTTGAGGGAGCACGCTGTTGTCACCGTGCTTGTTTCAACAAGTCTATATGTGTGTTTGTGTGTGCACCTCAAGCCCCGTTGATGAACTTGTTTTTGTGTGTGTGTGTGTGTGTGTGTGTGTGTGTGTGTGTGTGTGTGTATATTTACTCAGCACACCTGTGAGATGGCCTTCTGAGTGGTAATGAGAGGGTATTTATACATGAGAGTCCTATGCAGATTAGCCAGTGATAACAAGATGCATAATTAATCACATGCATATTTAGAAAGCTGGAACTAATGATTTCCCATTGGGGTTGGGAGGAAGGACCAGAATATGAAACAAAAAAATCTCTTTTTTTCCTCACATGTCTGACAGTATGTATGCAACGTCATACAGCAACAGTGCATACTGTAATACCATCTTTCGTTAGCTCAGGGGCCCAAATCAGTTCTGTGTCCCTCCCTGGTGACACCAAGTCTCTTCAGAGGTCCATTGAAGTGATCCCCCACACTTGGGTTCAAAGCCATTCTGTGATGAAAAATACATGATCTTTCTATAAAGAAAGAGTTTTGGGCTGTCAGCCATTACAGTCGTGTTGCCCCAAAGGGAACTTTTTGCTTACATCCAGAGCTTGTTTCAACTTTTGCTTTAAAGAATAAAATTCTGCAATGATTCATGTGGTTTTGAACCAAAGCGTAAATTTGGAATGAGTAATCGGTTATTGAGCAAACTTTTTTTATTGGTTGTTGTACTCCAGGGGAGTGTGCAGGATGAGCTGAAATACCCTTGGCCTAAGTTAATTATATCTTTTTTTTTCTATGTCCGTTGATTCATAATTTATATTGCTGTGAGATTAGATCAGACACAGTACACATGTATGCTGACAGAGCTGTGCTTGAGCTCTTTTAAAAAGATGTAATTGGTTGATCCAAAAAAGAAAAATGAATCTATTTGGTATTAATGGAAGACAAATGGCTCATCTTTCATCAGTTTCTGTTATTGCTGGCCAGTCTAGTAGTTGGTCTGCATGTAAATCTATAAACCAGCAAACGCTGTTTAATTTCTCCAGTTGCCAAGTATCTTACTGTTCTGGCATCATATCGCGTTATTGTGTTGGGTGGGTGGTTTTGAACGTTTGAATAATATTTCTCCTACCTCTTTGTCTTTCCGCAATTTAAGAAACTCTAAGCCTCTTAAAAATCCTCCGTACCAGGATCTTGTATTAACTGTCAGGGGAAATTCGTTAAAATACTAAGAATTTCCTTAGATTTTCGTCATCAGGTGCTCCTCTTTGTACCAGGAAGCTTTATGAATACAGCCCCAGAGTAGCAACTACACGGGAACCTTGGGAGCATTTGGGTTGATGCCCATCGGTACAGCACCAGGAGAAAGGAGATACTGCTGGCAGCACTGTCAAGCCCTGGAGGTCATGAAAAAGCAATCTGCTCAGAACCTTCTGCAGGCAATTAGCAGATAATTGTCATTCAGATCAATTGACTTAAATTCTAATCAGGCATTTGAAAGAACAGTAAGTAAGAGGGGATAGTTGGTGAGGGTTGGAAAGCAAAGTAGAGTTGAAACTGACACTAAGAGTTACTGACTCTCCTTCTCTTGCTCATGCTGGTGTGTCTAGTAAGTTGATGTTTTCCACGGCTGTGCCTATAAATAAGACTGCAGCACCCTGACCACACTTCAGGTTGAGTTTATTCCTCTTTTTGTATTAATTCAGCATCTTAAAAACAAAGGCACGTTTGAGCTTAATGTGTTGATGCCTGAATATTTTAGCATACTTAAAACTTGAATATTCTTAGCAGATTTTTAATGCAGACTTGTACTGTTTTTTTAATATATGTTTGTTTTTTTTAACCAAGAAATCATATTTAAAATAAATGCATGAATGCACAGGCTTTGTGTACAAACTCTTCAGAGCTTTCAGCCTGTTAGGCAGTAAGGGAGAAGAAAAGGGGAGTAGCAAGAGCTATCTGCAACAGCACGAGGCAGCGGAGAGAGCCATGGATGGCCGTGGCTCAAGAGAGTCTTTGTTGAGACTGCTGTCTAATGAAAGGACTGCACTGCGGTAATGATACTAAAGGAAGGGAGTGTACTACTAAATAATGAAGTGACTGCAGTGTAGTAAAGGTAACAAAGTAGGAGGGAAGTGCTCAATGAAGTGACTGCTATGTGCTAATGTCCATGCAGGAAGGAGGGCAGTGCATGTTGGGTATAGTATCCTGAATGTAATGTGATGAGAGTGCCGGTTGGAGACGGATGGGTCTCCTGAGTTGGTATGAATCTGGCACTGCTCCCATACTACGCTGTAATAATTTACCCTTTTTTTTCTTCTGTCATTTCCTTTTTCACTTTATTCCTCCCTCTTCCCTTGTACCTTCCAATTTGCTCTCATTCTAATCCTGTCTCTGCCCGACACCCCTGCTATCCTCCATATCACTGAGCTCCATATCACCTTCTGTATGTTACATTAATTTTCAATCATCAGTTCTGAAATCCCCCGAGGATACTGTCAGTAAATACTCTCTCTGCATGTGTGTGTGTGCGCTCATATATTGCTTGTCCTGTGTCTAAGTGTCCATACATGAGTGAGCCTGCATTGGTGCATATGTGTGTATTTTCAGATGGGTTGTGCGATTTGGACAGTAGCTCAGGGCAATATTCCTTAATGATATAATTTCCCCTCATTTGTTTTATTTTTTATTCATGTTAATATGTCACATGCACACATACCATTATGCACCCCACCCTTCCAGTTATTTGTGATAAGTAGACAGGGTTGTGTCCAGAATAACTACGTGGAAGATCTTGGAATGTGATTGGACGTGTGTGGGAGCTTTTAGCAGGAGCTAGTATGTACTGCATCATGGCCATGGCGTATTACACTACATTTGTTTTTGTACTGTGACAGCGAATACGTGCATTTCCCAGAACTACTCATTTAAAGGTTCCCTGTGGAGCTTTTCTCCACTATTAGCGCTACCGAGAAATGTTTTTGTGTGTTGGTCCACATTTTGTTTGTGCTTGTGGACGCACACAAGGAGGCATATGCAAGCACACAAGGGTAATGCAATACACATTCCAGCCAATGGTTTCATACTGTTTGAGTGAGCAACAGGTAACATATCAGGAAACACCCTAATGTGCCAACAAAGGCGTGGAAAAAGAAGCCTGCTGTATAGTAAACATGGACGCAAACATTGCAGGATTCACATCCGCCCTGCAAATGTTTTACACGAAAGGAAATGCAGTTAACACGTTTGTGAGACCTCAATGATGCACATAATGTGTAAAAACTCCGCAGGGTACCTTTTAAGTCTTGGTAGTGTGACATGATTACAAAACAAAATTCTGCAGAGATACCCTACTTCCCCTGCACCCTCGTGTGCTTTACCGCGCTTTGCCAAAACCAATCTAATTATGTTAAATGAGACGATTGAGACAAATGAGGCGATCACTTGTGGTTGATGACGGTTTCTCTCTGATGCTGCTGCCCCTCTTGCCCCGGTCTGACTTTGACAGCAGCTTTTCTTGCAGCTTGTGACATCTGCCTGAGAGTGGGACATGCTTCAGGGTTTCTGTTTCTGGCTCCACCGACT